TCAAACACAGGGTCCACTTGTTTTGTCTCGACTTTGACGCCAGTCTCTCATCAGCGCACCCTGCCCTGTGACCTTTGGGGACAGACAGACAGTCAGAGGTCTCACATACGCATCTATCTGATATCTTCACCATGGGATACTCACATTACACAGATACAGCAGATTTCAGTTCACCAACGACAACCTGTGCTTTGATCTGTTTTGTTATTTCTCCTTGGTGTTTACTCCTGCAGTGTTTCTTGCTCCCTTGGTCTTTTCTCTGTTGGTCTTTTCAGTCAGACACAACAGCAAACCACACCATTGAAGAAGTCACTGCCTGAGTCCAAGAGTACTAAATCACCAGGAAACAGTAAATATGACATCCTTGTGTCACAAAAAACTGGACTTTCTCCAAGTCTGGGCTTGTGCCTTCATATCCTGCGTATGGCTAACCACGCCTCTACCCAGAATCAAAACTTCATTGTGCTTTCTGGCACGCTGACCCTGTTTGCAGTTGTCCACACATCTGTGGAGTGTGTGTGGTAGAAACACCCAAAGCAAGCTGTGACTGACAGCAGGTAGTGATTCAGAATGACTTCTATTGACAGTCCTCAAAACACCTGACATAACAGGACGGTGCGTCTGTGTGTTGCATGTGTGGTAAGTTTTGCGGTTTAAAGCGACTGGGTGGACCTGTTCTATCAGTGAGCCTAAAATAATGTGCACACTTTGACACTCTGTCTGCTCCAGTAGCATTCATTTGACTCCGGTATGACAAATGCTAGTTTGTCCCCTGGCCACTATGACCTTTATCTACCTGAAACCAGCCAGCCTGCATTTTTTTTCCATAGTACAAATCACTTTAAAGGAGACTTACCAGGAAACTAAAGCATAGGCCAGAATTAACATAAACCACTCTTAAGCTTTGCTTTTATTAAACGATCAGGGTATGGTCCTACTTTGTGGACAGCTGTTGACACTGTTTTCATCTTTATCCTGTTTGTATGATTCAGGCACAAAGCAGGATTATGAGTGCCTCCAGGTCAGACTGACTGACAGGCTGGCAATCCTTGTTAGACAAACAAAGCCACACGTACTGACGAAGCGCTCGTATATTATCCATCCGCCTGTCTGTGTCATCTTTCTTCTTATTGTTTGAACTGTTGTAGCTGCTACTGTTTATCTGAGTATCTACTCTAACCCCCCCTGCCACACACACACACACACACACACACACACACACACACACACACACACACACACACACACACACACACACACACACACAAATACAGCATTATAACAGAAGGTGCTCTTGTTTAACACGTCACACAAATATCTCTGAAATTCCCCGTCTCAGCCTTGTGATTTTTGCGCCCCGCACTCTACTTGCTCCTCTGTTTGCCCCTTTTGCTTCCCTCAGGTTTGTTCATGTCGCTGACAGGAACACAACTGGAATCTGATGAAGGCATGTCTTCTCCACTTGCCACAACAGCCCTGGGAGGCCTCATGGCTGCTATGTAGCAGCCTACATGCTCATTAGACTAATGAGAGCTCCGGGCTAAAGTAATGGGGATGGTAAACAGAAGCTTAAGGGAAGCAGTAGTGCTGACAGGTAAATATCAGCTTCTTTAATAAAAATGCAGTTTAGGATTTAGACTACGTTCAGCATGCAGACTTGGAAATATACATTTAAGCTCACACCTGATCAGCACATGACAGTTTTATCATTTGACTGTGTCAACACATCTTTCACCTGTCTGCAATAATACAACAAGATGAGCAGCACAGGACATTTCTCTCAATGAGATGTACAGAGGTCAAAGAGATAACAGGTCTTATTTGGTATTTAAGCTACATCTTAAAAGGGAGTTTGCCTTCTCTAACTGCTCAACTATGACAATATAGAAAATGAGAGAGGCGATGGGAAAAGAGCCGAGTGAATTACTGATAAATTGTCTATTTTAGCTTTGAGCTAAGCCGCTGATTTGGTAGTCTCTGCTGTCGAGTGAGTGGCAGATTGAATCACGTTCACTTGTCAGTATTATTAATTCTTTGTTACGTAAAGATAGTGGCAGTAGTGCAGCTGTCCTGCTTTTTCTTCTGTATCAGAAACATCACTCGGAGGCAGGCACCATACCTGTTTTTCTGGGCCCTAACCCCACACCCCTACCTTTTCCACAAGTTACCGTTTGTTATTTTTCTAGTTATTCTTCCCTGCAGTCTTTTCCTTTTAAAAAAACAAAACAGAAAAACAACTTAGACATGTGCCACACACACAAGATAAATGTGAACTGGAGATCGTCGGTGCTGATTACGATGTCACAAAGGAATTTATTGTGAAACTGCTGCCTGTGTCGGCACCGCGCCAGCGCTGGGGAGCCTGGCTGGCAAATCAACAGTCAGGCGGCACAGTTTTCCCAACCCCCAAGGTTGACATGCCTTTCCTCCGTAGCCTCAGGTGCCCTGTGACTTGTTTATTAAGAAATTACAACCAGTGTTTTTTAAGGGTATTCAAACTGGTCTCTTGGAAATCTGAGTTCATTAACTATGTAATCCTTTTCATAATTTGCTAGAGAACCAGCCCCCCCATTCAATATCATTCCTTAAATATAATGCATTACATCTCAATTATTACTTCATAATCTCCACTGCAATCTCTGGAAATTAAATTTAAAAAAATCCACAGATACACAATAGGATGCTGTGAGCCAGCATTTTATCACCACACTGACATGCTACGCTACCTGTGCCAACAGCTGATTAAACAGGTGAGCTCTGCCATGTTAGAGACTGTAAAGACCTCATTCAGCAACAGTCTATTAAGACATCAACAGTGACCCACAACTCAGCAGGCTGCCCACAGCAGGTGTGCGTTTCCTAACACTTAAACAAGATGAAGGAGGGGAGACGAGGAGGGTAATGACAGCAGAGGAGGTAAATAAGTGAGCCTTTAGCCTGCTTTTCCCTAGAGGCTGTCAGTATGCACAATTCAGGATACATTTCTGTCGAATGCTGCAATCTATCTTAAATGATGGATTGTATAGAAGGCCATCAAAATCAGTGTACGGTATACCTCTTATAATGTGAAAATAAATCAGCTGATCTCATTTGTATGTCAAAGAGAAATAAGTAGAAACCAGTGGATGGTTCACATTCAAATTAGAGTGTGATTTATGACCCAGATCTTGGCATTTGGTATAAAAGATGTGTGTTTCTGTAGGTCTGTGTTCGGTTAGTCAAAGCCAGAGAAGACCCAACATTCAGTAAAAGAGAGAAGACATAAATGGTTCTTTGTTATCGTAGCAATTTGTCTACATTGAGAGCAGTTTACTGATTCTCATCGACACAGTCGTTCAGGCTAGTCATTAAGTGAGTCAAGCAGATTCCTGAGCTGACCTGTAACATAGGGAACAATGCTTACCTGTGTAAGTGTTTGCTCACACGTGTGTGTGATCTGGCTATACGTATGGTTGAGTCACGGTATATAAATATCCCGGAACACCTTTGCTTGCTCTTACATGTTTGCTTTTAGGTAAAAATATTAACAATATTAAGTGACTCTTGCCGCGGTGTCAAGAGTGCACTGACTTGTGGCATTTCTGAACGTTCAAAGCACAGAGCCAGCAGAGACTGCTCACACCCAGACATTTGGCTTGAATTCAGCCCCTCGTTATGTACATACACCCATATTTTACCTCGTATTGAAGAGCGTGTAGGTGTGGCTAGACGTGTGTAGTGTTACAGTAAATGCTTAAGAAAAAGGCAGGAAAAACAAGCATGCAGGATGTCAGCGTATGCTGCAGTCAAAGGCAGTGTTGATGTTAAAACTTCAGGATCATGGCATTAATGGAGTCAGTGTGTGTTTTAACACTGAAGCATTGACTGCATAGCAAATAATTTACAGCGAGCGAGCCGAAACCTCGACCTGAGGAATGTCTGCATGTTCTACAAGCCAAAAGCAGCAGGAGAAGAACTCAGTTTCACCAATCTTCTCGGCTCATCTCTGTTTTCCCTGAGATGGACGAGGTGGGGGAGGCAATTAGTGAAAGTAGCGATGTGCGTCCAGATGCTCAAGGCTATGCCATATCCTGTGTGTGTGTGTGTGTATCTTTATAAGCCCACACAGTTCCTGTTACAGCTCATTGAGAACTAGCACGACACAGGCTGGATGGAGAATGAGAGGTCAGAAGGAGCGTGTAGGTGAATCCTGCTCTGTCAGACAGTAAAACAAGACAAGCCGACTAGACTCTTGATACAGCAACACATTAAAAAGCTGCAGATTGACTATTCTAATGGCCAGTCTGAAGTTTAGCGCTCATTGTTTTTGATAGACTGCATACCGACAGGATTGTGTTCATTTTTTGTCTGTTTATATCTGGATTTCCTGAGGGGGGTGACTCGACTGATCAGGACAAAAACTTTTAAATGATAAAACAGATATTCTTCTTTTTCATGCAAACTCATCCCTGTGCAATACTTTAAGATTATTGTTGGAATATCATCACGATGGTGTCATCAGACTTTGAGGGGATTTGAAAGTAATGCCAAAACAGCAGAAACCATGTAGGTTACTAAGAAAATGTTTTCAACAAACACAGGGTCATTATTCTACCTTTTTCTCCAGCAACCAGACCGGCATGCTAAACTTCAAACTTCCTCCATTCCCCCCTTTCCTTCTCCCTCTGTCTGAAACTCTACACAGCCTCACTGTATCTATTAAATGCCGTGTGTGCTAAGAGAGGCGCTCTTGTTCTCCTGCCAGTCTTGTTAAGAGGCTCAGAGCTGTGTGAAAGGATCCCATTGAGGGAGCAGAGTGTTATGGTTAACATGGTAAAGACCGCCAACTGCGTGCCGTTTGGGTTTCTTGGTGCAAATATTCACAGGGCTGTATTATTTAGCCCGTGCCAAAAATACTACATTACTTTTCTATTTTTTCTTCTTGTATAATAACTTAAGCTATCTTTGCACCTTGGTATCAAGTAAAACGACCACATCTTTCAGATATAATTAAAACTCACCCCATGAAGATGCTTCCACTATTCTTCTTCAGGTCTTCTTTCCCTGTAAGGAACACAAGAGTTGTAAAAACAAGCCAGAGAGGTGTTGCAATATTTTTCTGAGTGCCTCTTTTCTACTTATTTGGAATCCAGCCCCCTTTCATGCCTTGTCAAAAGCACATAAGTGAAACAGGAAGTTTTTTTCCTGTTAATTGGGTAAATTCCACCCGAGTGTGGGAGCACGCCGAGCAATGGCAGAGCCGTGTGGCAACAACACGAAAATGATGGAGTGCCAGAGGAAGAATGCGGGCCGACCACTCTTTCTCCATCATCTCCTACTACAGATGGACTGTAGTATCGGTCCATCTGCCATAAACTGCAGTTGTGTACTGTACGCAGAATTGTGCAGCATGTTGTCATTCAATCAAATGGTTTTTATTTCTATTTCAGAGCAAAATTAGGCTTTCCACTGTAAGCCAAGAACAGCTTTTCATTTTATGATATCAGCTGGCAAAAGCTGACCGCGCTTTCTTCATTTCTTTCTTAATGGTGAACATTGCTTTAGCCATAACCACAGCACAATTTGTGCGTGCGTTCATGTTCGTGCTGCTTTCTGTGACTATTATCTGGTATCAGATGTTATTTCTGAATGTGATTACAGGATCATAAACATTAGTTGGTTTGGGGGAAAACCTAAAGAGTGCCTGATGGATGTTTTATTTGTGAGAGGCATTTAGCCAAAAGCACTTTCAACATTCTTTTCTATTGGCAAACTGTTGTTTTTTTTTCTTTTTCATTGATATAATGCTGTTCTAAAATGGTTTCTGAGATAATTACCTAAGAAACACAGCATGCCTTTTCTTTCTCTGTGTACTGTACAGCATTGTATATCTGTCCGCGGAGCATAAACCGGCCTGACTCTTCCAGAAAGTTCCTGCTAAGCAGCCATTTTTCATATATCTAAGCTCTGAGTCACAGTCTGTGGATGCGAAAAACAGAGTGACTACAAAACCACGTGTTATACCTGGCTTGTGTGACTCCTGAAACCTGACTTCACTTTGCGTGTAGCATATCTCTGAGCAGCCACATGCTTCCTTCATGTCAAGGGTGTAGTGTTTATATCTGAAAATAACCTGTTGCACTGCAGGGCTGGCTTTGGCACGCTGACCTGTGTTGAGGCCCGTGCTGAGCTCTGCATCCATGTGTTTATTTGTCTGTGGGACTGCTGCACAGAAGCTTTTTTGTGAACGTACGTGTGCGGTCAGTGGGTGTTTTTCCCTGTGATTTGCATACATTCGCACAGGTAAATCCAGCAGTGGCTGAGCGAGCGCTTCTTGCATGAGTGGCTGCTAAGTTAAGTACGGGGACTCCTTTCTGCTGACACAACCCACGGATCTGTTACCCGAGGTCACTGTATCCCGCTCTCAGACAGTCCTTCAGCTGAACTGTAAATGTTTTTGCTTTCAAAGTGGAACTAGACACCCTAAAATAGATACAAATTGTCTTTTACCGCTAAACGTCTTACATGACTGCAAAAGACTAAACTGCTAACAACAGTGTCCTGGTCTTGGTTTCCCTTAATAGCTTAAACAATCTCTTCCACTATTGTCTCAAAGACATTCGGTCTTTAATTAGTGCAGACTGCATGCTACCAAAACATTTGTAGTATCTTTTAACCTGCTTTGTACCTCTTATTTTCTCTCTTTTCGCTATTATTGGCTTACTTTGATATTCAATCTCTCTCTGACTCCCTCTGTCCTTTTTTGGGAGCACTGATACGTTTTAGCTTTTCTCTCCACTGTAATTTTCTTCCTTCCTCTGTGTTCATCTGTTCAACATAAATATCACCTCACCCTCGTCGCCTCTGTTTCTCCTTCTCTCTCTTTCTTTCTCCCTCCCTCTCTTCTCCTTCCCATCTGGTTTAAACTCTCGTACGATAGGAGGGAGCTGAGCAGCTTGACAATAACACTGGAACCGTTTTGTTGTGGAGTAATCACGTAAAACTGAAAACAGTTGGTTAGCTCAATGTATGTTCAATATGAACTGAAAGATTGCAGCTCAGAACATCAGTCCAAGCTAAACTGCTAAAAGAATTGGGTGGAATAAATAAACAGGTGCCTTTTACTTGGATGGCTGGCATTTAATGTGACACTCTTGGAAGCTTCTTCTTGGGTAAATCTGTACCAGTGACAAGTTGCGACTTGTCATTGATACAGATTTGTCACTGTCACAACTGCCTTTCGGTTCATGCAGGCTGATGCACGATCGTCTTCAGGCATATGTGCATGCATGCTCAGATGTTTCTGAGTAAGGCTCAGGCTTCTGGCTCTTTATCAGGGTGGACAGCGCCAGATAACAACACTATCTGTGTCTGCTGGTAGCCGTGTAAATAGACCTTAAGGAAAAGGGGACCCGGCGGACTAAAGTACTGTCTGGTGCGATGAAAGAGAGCAACTGTGTGCATACGTGTCACCTTGTAAGTGACACACGCTTACATGAAAATGTGAGTGACCACTTTCTATGGTCTCACACACTTGGTGACCCAGCTGCGAGCAGACGAACACTAACCCAAAGGTACATGCACTTCTTAGTGAAACATTAACAACTGACATTAAACTTAATGCTTTGTGTCAAAGTTTGTTATTAATACCCCAAATTTTCATTTGGCGGCAAATAATTTAGCCCTGTGCTTGTGTGCGCGTGTGCATTTGCCCTTGCTTTTGCTCTTGCCCAGTAAAATCTGGTTCAGGGCTCATTTCCTAATTACAGTGCTGGCCAGAAGTAATTACAACCTTAGATTAAGAGCCGTTTCTCCTTTTTTTATAGGTTCACTGAAATGCAGCAATTTGTGGTGACTTGGGACGAGCATCCTCCTTCTCATCCTCTCTCTCTCTCTGCTACTCTCCATCTGCCTCTCTCTCTCTCGCTCTGCTCCTCTCCCTCTCTACTCCACTGGAATTTGGGGGATTTTATTTTTTGCCTCTTTGCAGATTTTCCACTCAAGTGAGAAGGTTAAAAAATAGCGCAGTTAATCACATGAGCGGTTCATTTCAAACAAGAGATAGGGAAAAGCTGTGAAATATGACTTTAGTGGGCCTGCGTGTCTCTGTGGACATATGGACACGGAGGACAGCAGTTATTTGGGGTTTGCACTCAATCCGGGGCACTCCAAAGCCCGCAGATCCCTTTGCATGTGTGCGTCTATTTATGCAAGGTTTTGAAGTGGTTCTTCTGAACGCATCATTTGGATGCATCGGCAAGCTCTTCTTCAATTTAGCTTGGCAGGCGTATGGGCTGGGGTTTGCCCTCCACATACCGCTGGTTCAGCATTGATGTTTGAGGCTGAGGCCTTTGAAGCCAGGGGTTTTATTTAAGACGCCTCTTATAACGGAGGAGCTCCGGCTCTTAGTTGTCAACCAGAGAGCAGAATCCCCCCACCGCCTGCTGAGAAGCACCTGAAAAGGGGCACCCGGAAGGAGGATTTGCACTCCTTGAATCACTCACACAGACTCCTTGCTAATTGCGATGAGACCCCAGCTTCACGTGTTCTCCAGAAAAATAAACACACGCACACATATTTGCACACTTACTCCAACTTTCTGTCCTGTCGACTCTCCTTTCCCTCCCCGCTGCGTAACTGCCCCGCTCTTGTCCTCCTTTTGTACCTCTACCCCCCATATCTCTCCACTCTTCCCTTCCCTAGGCCTCCTCGCCTCACGTACCTGACTTTTAACCCTCTAATCCCTCTGATACAGAGGGAAGGGTGATTCAGCCACTGCTGCTAATTGGCATAAAAAAAAAGATAAATCCTTCCCTTCTTAAACTGTTTGGAGAAAGAAAAGAATTATTCATTATAACAATCAGTAGATTTATAGGCAGCAGATGCTACTGTAAGATGTCCAGCTCATCTTTTTGTCTCGTCTCAAAACAAAAAACTTAAAGATCACCAACTGTCAGTCATCATCTGCTGCAGATTTAGACATCAGTGCTCTTTCCTTCTCGAGCTCTTTTGCACAGATAATGAAACACTGGCCTTGATTTTGTAAAAGAAAAAAAACCCCCAGAAGTAATAAAAATAACAGATAAAGGTACAGGCTGACACAACGTTGGTAACCAGATCTTGATGGGTCCTGTGGTTTCAACATCACTGTCACAGTGGTGTGACAGCAGGCCTGTGCTTAATTGTATAAATTAAATTCTAGAACAAAGGGGTCGCCTTAGTCACGCTTCCCTATCCACAGTCAGACACTTAAGGGGAATAAATATACCGGAAAGTGGAGCACGGATAATCAGTCCGAGGTTATTATGTATCTCGTGCACAACTGCAAGTCTTTGACTTAAATTTTTACATCACAGAAGACATGCAGCTTCCTTGTTTATCTCTTCCTGTAATCATCCTTCTTTCATCACTGAGACGGTTGTGTCAACAAGTTACTTTCTAGGCCTAACAGTCACTGAAACATGAAGCTTCAAGTCTCTACATGTTTTTAGTCTTACTTAACATATTAAAAAATTCAAGCACACTTCTGCATTCTGTAGTATTCCAAGCTGTGCCCACAAACAGTCTGTTGCGCCGTTGTCTTGCCATCTCTTCCACACATTATCCTCAAAGTTCTCCACATTAGTGGAGGATAATTGGTCTCCTGTGGCTGCTCTGCAATTTCTGTTGGCCTAATATAAACAGATTACAACTATTTTATACTGTCAGAAACACATTAGCTTCTCCTGTAGTGTAATTATAGTCTGTGAGGAAACATTTGGTGGTAATAGAGAGGCTTTTGGGGCAGTTTGTGCTGCTTATTTGGCCTTGGGACGGATCGGGTGATTTGCAGCATCTGTTTGTGTGGGCCTTATAAATGATGCTCATCTGAGGACTGAATTTAGGATTCAAGTGATGAGATATACTGTGATTTATTAGATTAGATTTTTTTTTTTCTGATCAGGTGAGTATTTGGAACTATTCACATAATAAAACAGAGATGAAAGAAAGCTGGTGAGATTGACATTAGTATGTTTAATTTGGCACATTATTTGGAAAGGTGAGATCATATTTTCAGACAGGGACACACTGAGATTGGTCTAAACCTGTTGATCCTGTCACTTGATTGGATGCTGGTTTATTGGTGGGCTTGATCACTGTGAGATTTAATCTTTCAGGAATGTGACCCCATGGCTCACTGCTCTGCTGCACACTTGCAGTAGATTTCTACCTTTCCGCACATCTGAGCAACTGTTTCATTTTTTATGTCTCTGCACCGAAATGCCTTCAGCTAAAAGTCAAATTGCGCAGAATGTTAAAAATAACAATGAAGTTATGTAATCCCTTTTAATAACAGTAGCAGCATTTGATGGACAGCCCAATTATTAGTAGCCTATTGCAACGGGGCTTCAGTAAGCTTTTTACTGGCAGCTGGCTTTTGGCGTTATACAAATGAAACATGGTTGTGTTTTAATCTACGGAATTACTCAAAATCTGAGGTTTAATCAGCGCATGCTTCATAATGCTGCTCCTATGAAACATAGCCCTTACTTCCTCGACAGTTTGTGCTTCACATTGAAAGCAATGACCGTCCAAATGCTAAAATAACCAAATGTACTAAATTTGCAACTTTGAGTGGTGTGCGTATTGGAGCCGTTTCAGCGCTCGTGTCCTGCTGAACTTGGTGTTGTGGGACGTCCCCTTGTGTGGTTCCAAAAACAGCTGTCCTCTGCGGTGGACACAGCTCGGTGCGGTGTAGACATTCGGCACGGCTCTTGCATGCTGCACGGCGTCCTGCGGTCCAACACAAGCCCGCCTCATTACCGTCCCGGCGGCTCTTTTTGCACCGCGCACACGCTCGCGTTTTCTGTTTTCTGGGTTTGTTTGGTTTATTTACGCGCTTTCCAAATATAAAGGAACTCGCGTTTTGTTGTCTGGAGAATTAATGGAGCCCACATCTCCAATAAACCTGTTGAATCCAATGACTCAGCGGCGCATCTATGCAAATAACCCATTTAAAAAAAATTAAATTCAGATTTCCACTTAGTTGCTGTGCATTTACAGGAGAAACAGGTTCGTGTTTAACGCACTGTACATTACAAGCAAAACGCGTTTTTGCAAAGCAGACACGAGTCTGTTGAATTATTTGAGCGAGTTTTTGTTAAGAAAGTTGTCACAGGAGAGAAAAAAAACTCGGTACCACTGCCAGCTTGTGTTCAAAAGAGGAAATAAAGCCGACAAACAGCTGGAGTGTTTTTTTTCTGTTATACATTCATTTTATTCTGACAGTCAGTCGATTCAGATGTTTTTAAAATGATCATTTACTTAACCCCGTTTGTCAATATATCCCTGTTCACGCGTCTTTACGCTGGACTCGATCATGCCGAAAGTGTTTTAGAGCTAAAACACACACACACACACACACACATACACACACACACACACACACACACAAAACAAAACAATACTCACTCTACCATTTAAAATATAAGTAAGTATAAGTAAGTCAACTCTTACCCGTAACTTCGGAAAAGTGAAGCTGGAAGCGCAGTCGCGCTTGTGTCTTTATCCAAGAAGAGCACTTCACCGATATAACTCCAAACCTGGTAGTTTCCCTGCGTGCGCTCTCGCAAAAAGAGACCTTTCTGTGAACGTATGAAACTTACAAGGAACGGTCCTCATGAAATCCTTGGAGAGGTACCCCTGCCTCCATGTCAAGGAATGCGTTCAAGTACCAACTCCCTGGACAAAAAGCGCTTTATTGGTGAGCACAGAGGAGAGTTTAAAGCGGAGGAATGGGAGGGGCGAGGCGCGCTGCAGTTGGGCGCACTCCTGCGCTGAGCGGAGAGCAACAAACATCTCACCTTGCAGCTTTGCAGAGTGCGAAGGAGAGAAATTCCAGGCTCTTTTCAGCTCACTATTTCTTAATTCCTACCTGCGTGACCTGTTTTGAGCAAGATACATTACTGATCTTACTATTTACTTTTACAAAAAGTTAGTCGCATTTCCTTTGAGGGACCATTAACTTTGCCTCAGAGCACTGTTTGTGTCTTTCTCTGCAAGAAATAAGCAAACCGATACAGGTTTTTGCTTGGATACAGAGAATGGTGAGAGCAGTCAATCAAAGTGACCAGTTGATCCCCAATTAACCTTCTGCATAAATAGGGAGTGCCTGCAAGATTAAAAATAGAGTGGACCAGAACAGGTTTGATTAGAAAGATTGAAAGTTAAAAGTCATGGATAATCTGAATGGATATTCAGATAGATTAGCAATGATCAGAAGGTGGAGAAAGTTATAGTTTTAGTGTGTCCAGCAGCTGAAGTTGTTGCCATCGGACAAATGGCCAAAGCCTAATCAGATGGAAAAGGCTGGGGGTTAAAAAGTGATCTATGGCATATTCAACTTCACATTAAATGAGAATAATATGTTAGTAACTGTTTCTTTCATTTGTTCTTATGCTTCATCTGTTCATTCACTTATGGGGGACAGCCAGTTGCCTCCACAGTGTACGTGCGGTTTACATTAGCTCATATGGTTGCTTTCGTTGACGGAGATGTCTTCAAGCTGAGAAAGCTATCAAATACTTCCTAACTCCAGTGACAAACTACCCGTTGGCAGCTGGGAGCCTATTTCAATGCCAGCCTTTCCCAACAAGGTGCAGTAAGGCGATAGCTCTCTGGAACTGTGTCACCACCGGTGTGTGCTTTTGGCCTCATGTCACAGAATTACACAGATCCCTGAAGCATATAGTGGCTGATTTTTATCAGCACGTTGCTGCTTTTTCTCTTAATGTTGGCAAGAAATTGTAAAAGATCATTTGAGCCAGGTTTAATTCCTCATGGCTGAAGGCAGAGACACTCCAACAAGAGAATTATTCAACTAGTAGACCTCTCTGTAGCCTTACACTATTGCACGTGTCTCCTTAAACCACCCCCAACTTTAAGTATCTTCTGAGCAACGGGTGCTTTAGTTAGCCACTTGTTGAGCCATGCTTGCGTTTTTCTTTTCTTTTTCTTTTTACCATTTACTGTGTGATAGCAGTCTCCACTTTGCCTGTGGCTCATGAATTTCTCTCGCTCATTTTCCTGCATGTAACGCACAGGCTTCCATCTGCAAAGCATTACAGTAAATGACAGGAATAGAGAAATGATTTCACACACGTTCCGCATGGGCCAGATGCAGCTCTAGAGTCACTGCCGCAACTAAGTCTCATGTGGTAGGAAGAAATAAAGAAAGAGTAAATAAGTCTTACCCTGCTGCATTTTAGTGCATATGTTTGAGGTTCACAAAGTCAGTGCCTCTGCCCTGGTGCTGTATTATCGTTTATATTTGTCATTCAGCTCATGAGTGTTGGTCCGGCATCTCCAAATTTGACTCTCATAATTTTTTATGCTTTGTTTTTACAACTTGCAGCAACCAGCTGGAGTAATCATAAATATTACCTCATGTTCACCAGGACCATGCTGCTTTTTTCACAGCTTTTATTTGAAGGAGTCCATAATGCATATTCTTAGTAATAATAACTTTATTATTATTTTATTATATGTGTGGAAATTCTTAATATTGAAAATGTTATTATGTTTTTCGTGTGTCATTTGTATGTAGCGAAAGACTTTAAAATCCTTCTTTCCTATAACTACCCTCTGTAATATCAGTTCTGGGGCTGAGGCTGTTTAGTGGATTTGTTACCAAAATCTACATTTCTACTTAAGCTAATAAAGCATTTAACTATATAATATTTATTACTTATATAATATGATTTAAGCTTTTCTGACTTTAAGTATATTCTAGCCTCTCAGTTAAAAAGTAACAAATATCTGCTGTCAACAGATATTATCCAGTCTCATCAAACACTGCTTGAATAGTAGAATAGTCTATTTTTGGCCGTCTTCACATAGTTTCCTGGTTAAATGTCCCAAGCAGCAATGCGTTCCTGTAATCTGTTTCACATATTTACACATATTTAGCGGACAGGCATTTGGTCAGGGGTGTAAATCAAAGTGGCGGTAACAGCATTCTGCGTGCCATCAGCACGTTGCGCTCCTAATCACCAGGGCTCAGTAAAAGATGGTGAGGCAGCCTATAACACTGCCCAGGGGAACCAATAAAACACTGGTTTGGTGCTCAGCCAGTTCTGCAGCCTGCTAGGGGTTTAATGCTTGAGGCACTTAGTCATACAGCACCATGCTTGTTTTTTTAGTTTTTTTTTTTTTTTTAAGGACTTAACTGAAAATTTCTTCTTGTCAGTTTTCATAAAAGATGCGCTCTTTAATTTTCTTGTAGCTCACTTCACTGTTATTCTCCTCGAATCCTCTTTTCCGTCTCATTTGGTCCTCTGAATATGTGGCTGCACAGAGTCAACCAGACTGTCCCCACCCTGTAGTGAAGCAGATGTTAACGATTACATCTGCTTCATCTTTTTGGTCTTCATTCGTCTTTTATTTATTTATTTTCTTGCCTCCATGATACGTGGTAACCTTTAAAGTCTCTATTTCATGTTTAACTTTGACCAAACACTGTAATTAACTGTAGATCTTAGCTAACACAGGATTAACTGTTTGGCATAATTATCCAAAATAGAAATATGACAATTTAAAGTAAATTAACATGATTGTGAGGACAGTGGGTGTTCCATAGCACACAGACAGCTGTATGAGAAACACTTTTGTCTCAAAGGCACATAATACCACGGTCTCTAGTTTGGGTTCCTGGGTTTTTTGATGCTATGGCGAGGCTTCTGTCCATCGATTCGCAAATCACAAGAATTACTATTCCTTCTAGTATTGGTTAGATTTTAGTGAAACTTGCGCACACTGATGTGCTTAAGATCGAGGTGTAGGTCTTGTAATATGATGCAGATGATATATGGCAACTCATTTTACATTTTAGGCCGCATATAGCCCACTTAAATCTTGTGTGGGTCGAATCAGTGAAGGTCCCCTTCCTCTACGTGGCCTTACTGTATGTTGGTCTGTATGGGGTTTCTAAATATCACATTACTTTGGACCTCTGACGTCTTCTTCAAGTTCAAACGTTCATAAAATGCCTTTTTTCTTAAAACACTTGTTTTAAATTCATCTGCCTGTCTTTGTATTGGCAACTTTTAGGAAGTGATAGTCGTATAAGGAAATTCTAAATATCACATCCAAACATTTTGTCACATTTGACCTCTGATCTCACTTTTACATTTACATCTGCCTTTCTTTCAAATTGATCTTTCTGTGTTAACGTCTCGGTTCCTTGCTCCTCTTCGGTGCTGGTCCTCATGTCAGTATTAGTTCTCTTCATTATTTCCCGTTTTTACTTTGAATTCTGGGTTTTCGTTCATGTCTTGCATTAGTTTTGCTTTCTGTCGGTTTGATTGCTTTGATTTACTTTCACCTGTGTTGGTTATGTCCACCTGTGTCTCAGCCTCCTCCTGTCTACTCCCTAATCAGCACATTTTGTGTATACGTGTGTCATTTGTCTTTTGTGTCCCCTTAGGTTGATCTTTTTGCTGCTTGACCTCTTTTGGACTCTTTCCATCTTTTGTTTCTTTACCGCCGCCCATTAAAGCCTTGTTTTATTTCTTATTCTGCCTGCTTGAGTCCTTGCGACACAAAAATGTTATCAGAAAGGCTAAACTGAGTGTAAACTGTCTTCTACCTTCCTTTCTTCTTACTGATCTCAGTTTTCATGAGTTGAATGGGTCTTAATAATACACGTACATTCCCGTAAATATCAGTGTTTAATGTTAATTACATTTTAAGGGCCAGTTCCTTTATTCCTAAAGAAAGCTAAAAGGGATTAGAGTTGGATATTTGTTGGCTTGTTTGGCTTATTATATGTTGTTTGTGCTTGCTTTGCTGTAATTATAGGTTTGTTCTGCATGTGCAACAGTTATTTTTCTTGTGGAAAATTACCCCCTTTGCTTTTTTCCCATTTTTCTTGCTCACTACACTCTTGCCTAGTGTAGGCTTATTGAATATATATAATATAATGATCAGGTTAATTTTGTTATACTACATAAAGCACAAAGATGATGAGATATTTACACCAAATGCTGTAAGACCCTTTAAACCCATCTCCACATTTGTCCTGGACAAACAGACCCCCACTAGGACCCGAGCATAGACAGACCACATAACCTTTGTCGTTTCTCTTCCTTTGTTTGTCTCTATAATGTACTCCTGCTTTTCTTCTTCTTCTCTTTTTCCTCTGCTGCAAAAACGTTTCTGCCCCTCTCTGAGCCTGGTTCTCACGAAGGTCTCTTCCTGTTAAAAGGGAGTTTTTCCTTCCCACCATTGCCAAGTCCTTGCTCATAGTGGACCAGCTACTGTGAATTGGTGCTTATAATATAATTGAACTAAAGTGAAACTACAAAGGCCTAACCTTCATTGTCACATCTGCAGATCTTTGCCAACACACAAACGTGTGCCTCGGTTTGAGGTGTTCATGTTTTGTTGTTCACAGCATGCCTGTGGCTTTTTACTTTTAGGAGCTTTTTGAGACAAAAAAAACCCAAGAAAAGCATCCTTGGAGCAAACACGGGACAACAATGAGTGAGAATGAGAGCATGGTAACCACAAAATGACATTTCACTTATTCACTCATTCCACGTGTTGTCAGCCGGCACAACAAAATGCTGTCTTTTAAACAAACAAAGCTAGCTTTATGATCTCTCTTTTTTTTTTCTTTTGGCTCCAAAAACAGTGTCCATCAAATTTTAGAGAGTAACACTGATGGCACATTTTGTAACCAAACAATGCAGCTATGCACATTTGCTAAACCAT